TGCAGAAGTTGCTGAGAGGAGGAAGAACCTGAAACATGAACACACTTCCTTTCCTTTGGAGTGTAGTAAAGTCTTTAAGTACAAGCCTTTAACGGCTCCAGCAAAATGGCATCGACTTGGTAAGCTGGTAGACAATTGATGGATCCAATTTGCGACGGACTCTCATATTCGCGATTAGTAATTTCTTCGTAAATTTGAGTGGAAGTTGTTGTTATAATATCGTAGTACAATAAAAGGCTTGGTATGAGATGGTATAGAATGCCAGTAGGGTCCTTACACCATCATATATGATCCAGTCGTATACCCGCCCCTGCAGGGCGCCAAGGGCATTCACGTATTCGCTCTTGGCTACAGCTGCCGGAACCAATTCTCCGAATTTTCACAAATAATTGAGCTCACTGCGTGCACCGTTGTCAACTGTAAATTGGCTGGGATTTGTATAAATTCCGTTATCGACATACATACATATTTAAAATGATACAACAAATGTGTGGAGCTACAGTGAGGGCTGTGTCTATAACTCCCTCCCAGCTCTCGCTAGTGCAGAGTCACCGTTAGAAGTATTTAATTGGTTAGGGGTGTACTCGATGCGCTTATTAAGTATCTGCCCATTGGGCAGTGATAATATCAAAAGTGGAATTAAAGGGATGATTAACACCTTCTTTGGCAATCGTGTATGCTCATACTTGCAGGGCAATGGTTGAGATATTGCTCTTTAGACTGTTCCTTCTCTGATTCATTGAGTCGTTTGCTATTGACCTTTGATTAAATACACTCTTAAAGTGGGAGCTCTATTACCCCGGAAAGGATTTATTGAAACATTTCTTAAGCATTTATTTTTGAATTGTTCCTTCCCTACCACGTACTTAACTATTTTCCGCATCAGCCCACTTTTTAGTCTACATGTAAACCAGGACGATAGTCCCTTAGGCAGGCGTTATGACTCTAACTTGGTTTTGTATAAAAATTTATTTAGCCTCTGTCCCCATTCTAATACATATACGTTATGTGCTCTATATTCAGACAAAATTGCTATAAATATGATTTCGTATACTGCCTGCGATTCGGTGATTATAATACTATCAAATGTCAGCGATGGCGAGTTGACCGTATGTATCGAGCTTAACACGATTGTACTGCGCAAGAATGGCTTGTAGGTTTTCGACTGCTGACTCAGGCAATTCAAATCTGCACAGCTTTGTACGTTACTACAGAAGGTTCCCTAGCATTCTCTCATTGCCTTTTGAATAGTTCTTTTGGGTGAAGTCTTCTTTTTCTTTAGCGTAGGCACCGCTTAACCTACTATTATTCTCAGTCTTGTAGCAAAATTTTAAAGCGAAACCATGTCGCACTTCCACTTACCCATCTAACTTCTAACATCTTCATATTATCCTGCCTCCTTTAACAGATACGGAATCGATTACTTTCTGAGCTCAATTACTATCATATCTCATAACATAACCTAGTCAACCCAGCCGCTGTTCACTGAGCTAAGTCATGGTCGTCGTACATCTACCGCTTGCAGGAATAACGGGTAGAGTTTGGAGAGCACTTCATTTTTCTACTACCTACTCAGCCCAAAGTAGCATTGGGACGAGTGACAAGACAGTGGTTGGATTTCTCGGCTGACATTCGTTGAGGAGGTTACTGTTTAACCCACACATCCTATTGCCTCGCGGCCAAAACTTCTAGATGACAATGATATATTAAGAGTTCAACAACTCTGCAGTGACTGAGCTCTTCTTAATATTTTCAGTTGGAGAGTTATGCTGGCGTAACCTGAGAACGTTCATTATTTGTTTTTATAGGCTTGCTTATGGTGCTGACTGCAGTGGACTGTAGCATTTGAGGTATGCTGTTGGACAACCCTTATATGAGGCTCCTGGTGGAATTTATTCTTCTTCACAGCTCATCAGTGTACCTTACGCTAGAGACTCTAAAATACACCAAAAGCGTTTTTGTAAAGTTTGACCTTATTTTTTGTTCGCATCGGCCTGGAACCAATTCATGCTATGTTCTCTGTTACAGATCCTTTAAATCTCTCTTATTTACCATCTATAAACCCATCAAAACCTTCTCCTCTTTGTTCAGGGAGATACCCCTATCCATTCCAATGGCGACTGTGCATCTCCCTATATTTTAGGTTCGTTCTCTCTTAAAATTCCGAATCTGAGTTGGTGTCGAAAGGCACTTGATGATCATTGACCTTGATGTCTTCGATGTTGATTTCTTGGTATATGAGAAAAGACTCGGTTTATCAAGTTCTCTACTATGTAGGGATGGTGCTTAGCAGAGACCTTGGTTTCTTCATAGTTGATTACCCTTTTCTTGCAGTTAACGGGGGAGTGACCCCTGTTCATATTTTAGCTACTTTTCGTTAGCCCCCTGATGAGTCTTAGACAGCTCTGTGCTAACTGGCCTTAGATGATGCGATCCGGTTCTTGATCCATCCTTGAAGTTTTTTGGCTTTGGTTTATTCATTGTAAGGTATCTTCATGAAAAATTGATCTCTGCTTGCCTGATCCAATTTCTGGGTGCTCCACTTTTCTGCAATGTGAGGGTTTTGCTTAGTTTGCTGTGAGAACTTAAAGTATTTTTTTCCGATTGAGGCTCAAGACGACCCCCCAAGGTGTGATTCAAAAGTTCGTTTAATTAAAACTTAAATATTTATTAAAATATTAGGTAGGTGGGTAGCAACAACAAACATCATTACCCCCAAGCACGGTGTTCTTAATTAAATTTATTTTCGACTCTTTGCCACTCTGCCCACATAACACTCCAAGAGAAACACCACAAGCGCCAACATCAAGCCCACGCCATACAACCACCATATCCAATATAGGTCGTCCAAAGTGAGACCTTTCGCCAGAATGGGTCTCGTTGCAACCGTTAAATTCAACTTACCCGCAGCGACCATATCGCTGTAGACCAGGTTTTCCCAGTGCTTCATAAGCCCAGCACTAATTGAGTTTTGAATCAAGACATTGAGCGCGCTCCTATAAATGGAATGTGGGCTCAAGGGTACGCCCAATTGTAGATTAGCCGCCAAATGCATTCCCTCGCTGATGTAGAACAGATGACGGCCCAATTTAGTTTGATACTCCACCAACGCCTGCCACAGCGAGTTCGTTATGNGGAATGAATATTTTGAAATGAAAGTCTGCAAGCAATATAACCTCACTTCTTTTCTTGAAAAATAATCACGTTAACAATCATCGTGCTGAATTCTTTTTCACGAATTGCCGATGACTGAGACTGAGAACCATTATGCGATTATCCGAGTTCATTCTAATTTGCTCAGTAGACGATGACGATGTGGAAAAGGCATCTGGCAAAATGGGCACAGTCTCGATTGATGTATGGCGCCATCTACCGAATTATGTCACTGAACATTGCACAGCGCCATCTGTAGTCTGTATCGTTAACTTTCGTAGAAAATAATCAAGATGCAAATGCGAAATATCGCATAAAAAGTACTACAATTTTTCACTTTTATTTTTCCCATCCGAAAAGTTAATCCGCAAAAATTGCACACAGAATTTAAAAAAAAAGTTTTGGAATTTCAAAACACAGAACTACCTGAGGATTTTCCAAATGATCTGTGTGTAAAATATTTTTTCTCTCAATTATGAACAACTGGCGAAATATTTGAGCCAAACATATTTACATAATTTTATAGGTTTTTGATCCAGACATATTTTATTAATTAATGCAATTAAATTTACAATATCAAGTCAGCTAGAGTAATTAGAACGGTGTTTTTTGTGGCTGAAAATGCTAACTAATCCCGCAATTGGCGCCTTAAAGCAACTCTCCTGAAGGTCTGCATATTCAGTTCATACTGCTCAACCCGCTCATTCTCCTCACTCTGGTTAGCCTTCTTCGTGCTTCTTTTATGATACCCTCTCTTCTGATACATTTCATTCATAAAATTCAAAAGTAGATAGTTTTGCTGCTGGACTCCTTCTTGTTCAATGGTATAGGTACCGTTTGCCCTATTTTATCAGAATCAACCACAGCGCGCCAGCGAAATAAAGGTTTCTTTTGCTTCCACCGGCGGGACTGTATTTAAAACTTGCGACTGAGACAGGAATGATTCGGTCCTGACTAGAATACAACAATTAAACTGATTTTTGCAAAGTGAAGGCACTGCAGTTTTCCAACATCATCGGAGAATTAATATTTAATGGCACCGTTTATTTATCGATTTGCGATGAAGTAAAAAAAGTTCCTCTACCACCCATTTGGAGGCGCCTGTTGTAGGTATCCCAATTTGTTAGAAACCCATAACCGCTTCGCCAAAACTGGCTTCAGTGGTTACAAATATAAATACCCTCCTTCCAAATACTGATATACCATTACTTGAGGAATATCGTGAACAAGACGCATTTGATAACCAAACCACTTGGCGCCTTGGGCGGGAAGAAATTAAGTTGCCGTGAAGTCAGACCGACATTGNCTGGCAGATATAAATGTGCTCATGAAAATGCCACTCACGAAGAGTGTGATGTATAGAAAACGTTTCAAGTGCCGAACAGAATGAGGAAAACGCAGACTGGATGGTTGACCAATAACGCCACGCAGCACCGTGTTGGTGAGAAACGAAATGAAGAGCAAGCAGCCTTCACGCTTTGTATGAACAAATATAAATACCCTCCTTCCAAATACTGATATACCATTACTTGAGGAATATCGTGAACAAGACGCATTTGATAACCAAACCACTTGGCGCCTTGGGCGGGAAGAAATTAAGATGCTGTGAAGTCAGACCGACATTGCTGTTCTCCTCAGACACCGAAGAAGTCGATTTCGTGCTTTCCGTTAAAGGTTGAAAGTCCCGTCCACCGAACGCCGGGCACTTACAGATTGCGTGAGTCACAATCTCTGCAAATTCCGTACATTTCCTGCACTTGTTGTGTATAAATTGAAAGACATTTATATAGCGAGTCGCTTGATGTTTGCCTCTAAGCAATTCTATCGTAGCCTACCTAATAGTGAGGTCATGCGCTGGGCTTGAGGGCGGCCAAGNGACTAGCAGATATCAAGGTGCTCATAAAAATGCCACTGAATAGCAGAAGAATGTGCAAAAAACGTTTGAGGAATTTCGCCGAAACACGTACGCGTGTGCACGATGGTTGGCCGATCACACTTCGTAGCACCACGTTGATGAGAATCCAGCAAAAGAACTGTAAGCTCAATCGAACTGAGCAAGCACGTCGCAAATGCAAATTCTGCCAAGTGAGCACGAAAGCGAAGACGAAGAGGAAGATTAACAGAAACAAACCCAGCACTGAATTAAGGAGATATAAGAGAAGCTCGCTGTCGGGTATTTGTGGTGGCACGGGTAACATAAAAATCCAATCCAATTGCAATAGCACGGAGGAGTAGCCTATATCGAGGGCTGTAGTTGAAATAGCGCCCGTAACTATATCGATGGAGTTATTTTGTAGTAGAGCCACTGAGACTCCCATGCCAGTGAAAGACCCCGGTTGGACTGCTACCGGATAGGTAATACTACCATTTATTCTGGCGGCGAATTCATTTAAGATTTTTGTCAGAAATCCAGTGATTTTTACATTGCCCATACGATCGTACCAAACCAGACTCCAGGGTTCGAGTTGATCGGGTACAGTGCGTATGGCAAGACCCTTTATGTCCTTAACACGGTCGGGAAAGCAATCGTCGGCTAACGATTTTCGTTGCAGCTGAAATTGTGGAAAATAAGTGTAAGTGTAGTAGTGTCCCTCGCTCAGGTAGTCTCTGTAAATGCCAATCACATTGAGTAAACGTCTGTAGGCACAATATTTGAAGAGTTGCTCTTGCTCCTGCATCAGTTTCACTTGTTGCTGCGGCGACACCTTCGTATATTCGCTACTCCAGATAAACAGCATACGCACATTACGTCTATTCTGTAGGCAAATGACCATTTGATCCAAATGTTCTGCTGCAAAGTTCTCCGGCACACAACGTATGAGAAGCATTTCCGAATTGAGGCGCTCGGTGGAGCTCGCGCAATTACTTCCCGACCACAATAGTTTAACGGTATTATTGGCGCTAAGAATTTTAATGTCCTCATCGGAGAGGCAGCACTTGCTGGTATTGCGCGCGTTCATAAGGAGGATCGTATCTATTTTACGTTCCGAGTTGATTTTACCTATGATTCGCCTCACATCAATAAAGTTTGTGTCCTGCTGGAAGTTCCAAGTGTACGAGTCTGTCAATTGTGCGATGAGCAGTGGGAAAGTGAAGAGTAGCAAAATGCTTTTTCGTGAATCCAACATTTTTGCAGCGTGTTGACACTGTTCGCCTTGAAGAAAATTGTGAAACTGCCGTGAGCTATGCATTGAATTTCCCAAATTTACAATAAATTATTGGGAGGAAAATATTAAATCATACCTTCTGTCAATGTAATTGAGAGTTTCACTTGCCTTTCCTTATTCAAATTATATGACAATTGAAATCACTCGGCTGAAGTGCTCTGATGATTAATGACTTTGATGAATGGTCTGGTAGAAATGCCCATTATATAATTCTATTAATCGTAAATCACTTTTCTCTATTTTTTGATGGTAAAAGGGTAGAGAGAAGCGATACGTATTTGCATGCAGAAAAAGAGAGAGGCGACGAAATGCGTGATAGAGTGGATAGTTTGAGAAGGTGTAATGTACGAAGATTATATGAGAAAATGTTGGCATTTACAGTTCGCGTCTAGATCAGAGCTTGTTGTTGTAGCACCTGAAGATGTAATCTGAAGCTCTCCAAGAACTAAAAAGAGTTTCAGAAAGGTTGACCATCTCTTTCGTGTAACTTTCAATCGCTGAAGCGAGCTTCGGCAGAGCTCATCCTTTAATTTGTGGTGTGCGTCCTATATTTTTCCAACAAATGGAGAGATCTACAGTTTATTCTAAGTCGTCTCCCAACGGCTGTTGGTTGTTTATGAGGAGCCTTTATTTCATGTCAGAAATAAACTGCGAGGTGTTGGCATGAGCTGCAAAACTGATTAGCGACGGCACTGTCTTCTTTAAGAGTGTGCAACTGCTGGTTGACTAAATAAGATGGAAGTGAATGAAGTCAAGGCGAAAAATTTTCTGGCAGGAAACAAAGGGCAGGCACATTAAAAGTAAACTCTCGGTCCACGAAGAAATATTGAATTCTACAAGTCGCTCATTAAAACCCGTTTGCCATGTGGTATGGTAGTGTGGACTGTTACAAAAGTTCTGGGAACGATACATCGACTGTGTCTGGAAGAGATGTTATCGGGTGACACTTGAAGAGTGAAATGGGGCGAGCAAATTCGTGAGCCAGAAAAAGAGAAGCAGCAAGAAAGCGATCAACTGCTAAAGAGTTCCATGCCGCCGCAATTCGCCGTGAATTCTGGCATTGTAAGCCATGGAAATGTTTGGCATGGAAAAGAGGTATGACAATATTTATGTTGGGATCTGCAGTTTTTTGATTAAACGGTCCATCCTTGCGGAAGGTGTGCAATTTTTCAGCGCACCGTAATGTCCTTAGTATTCCACCATATGTGGACTTCATTACACCTTTGATTAAGTTGGTTACCCACCAAAACCAAGTAGTCAAGACCACCCAGAGACTACGATTCCTGGTGATATTAAAGCTGAAGGACATTTAGTTCACAATCGAAAAAGCTCCAGAGCAGTAGTTGGCTTTGGGAATCACAAAAGTATACCTGAAGTCTAATAAACGCTTATTGGCGCCGGCTGAGACGAATGTAGAGTGTAACGAAAAGGCGGATCAGCTGGCAAGTGTTGTCGCTCTCAACTGCCTCAGACCTTTCAGCGGCTGCAATTGTTGTCTAAACAAGTTGTCTCTGGAGGAACACATAAGGCTTTGAAGCATTTTCAATGTGAGGTATAGCATTTAGTCACTTCACTACACTACAGCGTGGCTTGCAGACAGACAAAAATGTTACTTACTCATTGAGTAGACGAGAGTCTTAGTCTTATTGTAGGCTTATTAACGGTACATCTCCTCCTGGAATATCGTCTTCAAAAAGATGTTAAGATGGAATCAACTGAATGCGAAGCATGCACAGGAGAGAAGGAAATTCTTGAACACCTTACGATAGAGGCGTCATAACTTCTATACCATCCCAATATCCAGCTCGATCTCCGAAATCTTTAGATGTACGATCATTCAAGCCGCTGCACCATAACTTATGACGTCTTGTAGAGTTAGGTGCTTGGTCATTGAGAGCAGATCCCCCAGAAGTTGACGCAATTTTTAGATTAAGCAGAGCTCACTTTGGTTCCTATCATCCGACCAAATTGAGTTTCGTAAAGAAGCTGATGCAAATAATTTTTCAATTCAAACATTAAATTATTAGCTCCTGTGGTTCCTTTGTTCTCCGATTGGAGTTTCCGTTTAGCTTTCTCTAACTACTCAATATTTACTGTCATTCAACAGCAATGTTCGGCATCGGTAACCAGATCCCCTCGTTGGATCCCACATGATTTCGCTCCAGTCTTGAAATCTCCTGAAAGTCGCCGCGTTTTCTCATAGAATTTTCGAGCTGTGCCAGCCAGTTTTCCAGCATTTTACTCTCTTTTCTTCTACCAATAAGAACCGCTTTCCTCTTCAACTCACTCCACCACACTACACCTTGACCTGCATCTCTCAAAAGAAGGAAGGTCAGATAATTACTTCAGCAACACTTCAAATTAGAGATTCTTACCTCTTTGTTTACGCCCTTAAACCACATCATATAACAAGCTGTAATACAATTTTTTCTTTTTTTCTCAAAGCTTACCTGTGACCAAACTAAATTCGGATATTACAACACATATTGAAACTCATGAAGAGTCTGAAATCTTGGACAGTTTAATTGGCTGCATCAAAGTTTCGAAGAAATACTAAAAAAATACCTCGCTTCTCAACAATTACTCTTCTAAACGAATTGCTCTCTCAACTCACGCCAAATCAGCAGCAAATAATGTTGTGCCTCTCCAAGTTTAAATCTCTCACGCACCACTTCGGCTATGAAGCAGAGGGTACCCATAGCAATGCCAAAAATGTAAATCCACCAAATATAATAAAGATCCACAAATTTTAGAGCCTCATTACCACGAGTTTTGGATAAATCCTCAAATGTTAACTTGCCCGCCTTGACCATTTCATACAAACTTATAGCCGTCCAATGAGCCCAGAAGCCATATGCCTGCATATCCAACAGATATGCATTGAATGTGGCGCGATAAACGCTATTCTCAGCCAAAGGCACAGCTAGTAATATTTGCCGATGGAACTGCACCTCATCGGAGACACGAAACAGACGTTGCGTGAAATAACGCTGCTGACGCTCCACCATAGCCCATATTTCCGTGTGCGTGGAGTAGGCGAAGTGTGTGTCGAGACTCGTGCGTAGCGTATAGAAATCACGCAGGTCGGGCATTACTAAGAAAATATCGCGATATTTTTGCATAAATTCAACGGGCATAACATTCTCCAGCAACTCGTATTCCTCCAAGGGTATAGCGATTTTTACGTTACTTGCTCTCAAATCATCGTAGCTTTTGATCTGCTCACCCGAGGGAGGCCGACTTGAGTAGGCATGCAATTGTGCGCTATAAATGGTGCTCCATATGAGACCCTGTAGGAAAATTAGTAAATAGAGTAGATAAAATTTGTAGTTCCGTTCGCGCCATAGCTGAAAAGAGAGCCCAATAACGCCACGAAATATCTTATCATTGAAGACGATATCTTTCCATGTAATCAAACACGTTGCGCTCCGTCGGCGTCGCTTTTGACCATTAACAATGCAAGTGTAGAGTAGTGAGAGTATAACGAATACGAGCACGTCTATAATCAAAGTGTTGCTTTGAAAGATATACTTGTAGATCAGATAGCGTTCGATGTAGCCCGCACGTGGCAACATTGGCATCCAGTTGCTTATCTCTACAATATTCGAAAAAGCGTAGAGCGACATATTCTCCACAGGCATTTGTAAACCTATCGGTATGTCCACTTCGTAACTGCTCGTGAGGTCGGCCAATACAGAGATTTCAATACTCGCACCCACATTCACAGGCGCTCTGTAGGTGAGCGAGCCATTGAGCTTCTGGACGAAGTTGGAAATCAGTTTATACACATAACCGGAACTACACTTATTTCCCAGCCGATCTGTATAAACGATCGAGCCCGGCTCGGATTGTGAATGCATAGTAATAAACTCATAACCCTGCAGATCCCTGAGACGATTCGGATAAAATGTGCCGGGCCATTGATTACACTCCACGGTAAAGTTGGGAAAACGTTGAAAAGTATAGAAATCGCCAGTTGTCGCAAAATCTCTACCTACCGCCAACACATTCAACATTTGTTGGGCGTGACAGAAGTTGAAGAGCTCCTCCAGTTCATATACCGGTTGGGTAGTGAAATTTTTTAGCAGAAATAATAAACGCGTCTCACGCATATGCTGTAGACTCTCCGCTAGATTCTCCAACATAAATAAGTCGACAAAATCATCGAGGCACACGACATTCAACACTGCACGATTGAGGTAGCCATTCAGATACTCCGTATAGTTGCTATCGAAGATGAGTTTTGTTGTAAGGTTCTCGGAACCCCAGTCAGAGAGTTCGGCAAAACAATCGGCCGGCTGATGACGCCACAAAACCAAGGTGCTATAGTAACTCTCGTTCTGTATGGCTGCAAGTAAGGAGTCCATGGCGTAGCTCTGGTCCGTGTTCGTGCCATGAGTTTCTTGAAAATTTTGAACTTTTACACCGGCACAAAAGGATATAAAATAAATAGAGATTTGTAGAATTCCGCTAAATTTTAGGAAATACATTTTCCAACAACTTTTCTAATCTAACTGTATAATTTTATAACTGTATTTGGTATTTATATGCACTCCGGGCTATATAAGGGTTACGAAATCAATTAAAATTCGTAAGAAGAATACAATAAAATCATATTTTGAACACGCAAACGCAAATCAAACAAAATTAAAGTCCATAAAATTATAAAGAAAACCCATTTTACTGCGAAAATGTCAGAAAGTTTATTAAATATTCAACTACATATGATAAATGAAACTAGTTTTCGGCTAAGGGGAAAATAGTCAAAACTAGTCTGATTTTAACTAGTTACTTTTGTTGTTCTATTTGATCTATGAGACACTTTGGAGTGAAACTCGATTTCGATTGTATTAGAAGCTGTCGCTCCTTATTAGTAACTAGGCCGAATTTAACTAGTATGTAACTAACTCAATTTGAACTGTTAGTGGCCTAAAATCTTATAAATACAAATAATAAAAAAATTTAACTTAACATATTTTGCGCTTTCATTTCATATTGGTCAAGTAAAAAGTAGTCCATTACCCTTGCATTACCTTTATTTACCATAGCTAGAATTAACCGATTAATGTCAAAAATGCACCGCTTTGCTCGATAACTTTTAGCCATTTTGAAGGTAGATTAATTTTGTTTCTTTCCTAGAAACTCCATTAGTCCCTATTAGCAATCTATTTTCACTGGCTTCTCTTGAACCCAATTCTTCACCAGCCAACCCTTCGCCATAGATAGGAACAGATGGTAATCACTAGGTGCTAGGTCCGGATTATAATATGGCTGCTTAAGAACCTTCTAGCCAAACTTCTGGCGAATCACTTTCGATGTGTTTTGTCTGACCATGTCCTGATGGAACATAAATCCCCTCCCGTTGACCTAACCTGGGCGCTTCTAGATCGATCCAAACGCTGTCGGTACAAGCCCGCTTTAAGAGTTTGGCCGAGTATTCGAGCCTGTGCTATCTGGCGTTGTCCTGATGAAGCCAAAGCTGGCGCTTTTGGGCGATTGCTTCCTTCAAGTGGTCCAATTGCAGACTGTACAGGTCTGAATTAAGAGATTGTAAGGGAGCAGCTTATAGTGGATTAGTCCTTATCAATCCCACTAAACACACAACGAAGCCGTCCTAACCGGCTTGGAGATCGTTTGCCTTTCGGCCACGGTCGTTTTCATATAACGTTACTGTAAGTGATTCACTTTTCATCACCAGTCACCATCCGTTTCAAAACTGTGTTTTTGCAGTGTCTGTTCGTTAATGGTGTTATGGTGAGTGCGCGTCGGTCTTGACTTGACTTACTAGTAACGTAGCGAAGTTGTGCGTTAGGCTTGGAACCCGCTACTTAGAAATCAGTTTAACCAGAAAAGCTATGTGACTCTCTATGAACCCAATAACTTGTAAATCGATAACGTGCTGAACATAAAACCTGTATATAGTTTTTAAAAGGTCTCTATACTGCTAAGAATTTCCATCAATAATCCCAAAATACTGCCAGACGGACTATATGGAAGAGCTACCTAGAGTTGTAGAGCTACCTAGAGTTATAGAGAGTAGCGAAGCTTTTGACCTTATGCAGCTGTGTTAGCTAATGCACAAGCTTCATCGGAATCGAAAGGGACTTGCTCGACCCATTCGATACTGAACTAGATTGCAAGACTAAAAGGACAAGGTCTATAAAAGTGTACAGTTGCTATCATAAACCGATGATATTGGCTGACATAATTGCCCTCGTATATCATGCCTTCAGTTCTACTTTCTCTAAACTGGGTAAGGAAGCGAAGGATATGGATCTGGTGGTGAAGGAGGACAAGACGAAATATCTGCCGTCATCAAACATTCAAACAGTGTATTCGCGTCTTGGCTGCCACAACGAAAAAGGATGCTGTTCGAAAGGTCGCTCACCATTCCCAGCCAGTGATAGCTTTTGGAAATATATTCTCTACAGCCTTGGCCAAAAGTATTAGGCAACCTATTAATTACTGAATTTTTTGTTCTAACAAGTGAAGTAATACAGATTTATTAGTAAAACAGTGAAAATACAATGAATTGGTGATAACAGCATTAAAATTTAGTAGGTCCATCCTTCGATTTAATAACGGCAAAAATTGTCTTAGGCATGTTGCGTCCATGCGATTCTCGCAAACGAACATTTCGCCGACACTATCAACAGCCATACCGCCCCAGCTCATATTGCTGTCTCCTCCATGCTTAACAGTGGGTACCACGTAATCTGAATGATATTCTTCCCCAACCCGTTGCCTCACGAACGTCACACCGGGTGTTCCAAATATATAAAAGAAAAGAAAAAATAATGTTTTCATAAGATTTGTATTAAGTTTTCCAAATATCTCTGGGGTAAGAAGCTATGGCTGTTAACACTTTATGACGATCTTAACTAAGCTTACCTCGAAGTTTGATTCATCAGACCACAGAACATACGATCAATCTTCTTCCGTGAAATGTAGGTATCGACAAACCCATTCCAAACGATTTTTCCTATTCTTTTCTGAGAGCCACGGCTTCTCTGGGGCCTTACATCCTTTTAAACCTGCTACCAGAAGTCTTCTTCTAGCTGTTCGTGCACTAATTGGTTTACTAAATTTATCCGAAAGTGCAGCTGCAAGCGCAGAAGAAGATTTTTTTGCGATCCTTGAAAGACTCGCGTATAAGTATTCGGTCTTCTCGTTTACTGGTTAGATGCTTTCTTCCACTTTTTGATTTATTGTTTTGGGATTTCGTCACCACAAATCGCCTAATAGCTCATTGGACCGCGCACCGTGAACATCCCACCAAATTGGCGCTCTCAACCTGAGTCTTACCTTCTTCACTTAGAACTTGAATTCTAACTCTATCATTGTAAATAATTTCACTTTTTTTGTAAGAATTGCGATAAATATGAACTGCTTTTAACTTGCTTAAGATTGGTAACTTTTCACTAAATGCAATTTACACTTTCACTTTCAAATTTTAAATGCGAAAATATTTTATGAAATTCTTAAAAATGAAAATTTTTAAGTTAAGCTTACCCAGAGAGCTATGACTTTTGACATTACACAATTTATTCGTTTAGTCAACAGTTAAACACCCATGTAAGACATTTACAATAGCAAGTGGTAACTTTGATAGCCACATTTGAGAACACTTGCCTAACACTTTTAGCCAAGGCTGTATATTAACTCCTCAGATTATGCTTCCTCTTCATATGAGTCGGCGAATGTGTACTTCATAATGATGTATTAGATAACTGCATTTTATTTTGGGCGGTGCCACAGTTTAAAAACTTCCAAATTAATCACCTTTTTGCATAATAATAAAACTCTTCAAGCGTTTGCACTACTCGGTGTAATATGTCTTATTGATTGTTAGCCCGCTGTGAGGGTTCAAAATGAGATAATAGGTAATGTAATTATCAAATTTTGTTTATTAAATTTTAAGTAAGATAAAAAAAAGTATAAATATATTGAATATTAAAAATTGTAGTTTTTAGGGTGTGAATATTAAATAATGTTTATAATAAATTTTTTTTTTAAATAATCCCAAACGAATTAGCGTTCGAACAATAAGTGTCATCTTTTATTTTTTTGAATTAACTTTCCGTAAAGCTGGCAACAAAAGTGCTTATTTTTACTAAAAAAAAATATAATTTTGCAAGCGTAGCAAAATAACCTGCAAAAAATTTAAAATTTCCAAATGCAAAATAATAAAAAAATATCATTGTATATATTATAAAAACAACTTTCACTTTCAGATTTTACAATATTTATTTTTAAAAAAGAAGAATAGAGCTCTAGATACCCGCGTATTGGCTCTTTGAGCTGCTCTCTACTCGCTCGTTGCTCAACTACTCAAATGATAGTTTGAAATTTTTCAAATTTCAATTTTGTATGACCAAATTTCTGTAGTATTTCAATGAGTTTTACATTTTGCATAAATAAATTTAAAATTATGGAAGAAAGTTTTAAGAAAAAAGTCAAAATTTTTTATTCAAATTGCTCGAAAAAGCTTGAATTGCTCAAGCTTGAGCTTGAAAATTATCGAGCAATGAGCAATAAACGAGTGTGCGAGCACTCGTTGCTCAAACGTCCGAGCAGCTCGAAAATGTTCACACATAATCTTGAACTCTAGTGTATAAGTAAGCAATAAATCCGGTAGTCTCAGCTGAATTGGACGAAATTCATGGGTTTTAAATCAGCCTATGATGATGCAAGTCGATTCGACTCAACTGGAAAAACTGGATACACTTATGAACATCTTCTTTCCAGATTGTTCTGAAAACCAAAGCCCGTTCCAATTCGGTCTCTACAATAGATATGTTGTGATATTGTTTGTCGCAAATTACGAAAATGTGAGATGAGTTTTGCCAACATTATTTGTTGGACAAATTAATTCAGTATTTTTTTTTATATATTGAAAAAAGTAAAAAAAAAAACCATTCAAAAGATTGACCAGTGTGATTACCTTTTCCATCTCTCCAGGAAATACCATATCCAAAAAAATTACCTCTGTCTCTGTCCTCGATCCGATCATTGAGCCCTTTTTCGATTTCTTCACAACACCCGCACCCATTACACCCCAAATCGTTTGCATTCGACGAAAAACCCAGTGGTCGGATGCTGCAAGGCCTGTAGAGTACGGCGGTTGTGGTGGGATCTCCATGTTTCAATGTTTCCATATAATAAAATCAGCTTGTCAGCTTGCCTCTCGATCGCTTTGCAGGCAAAGCACGGCTTAAACACATTAATTGTAGTCGATAAGGATACGCATTAATGGTGCTACCAAATTGGTTACTAATCTCGATCCAGTGAAGCCTTCGCTTCCTCATATTCAAACTAAAGTCGCCACTTTTGAAGCACCGATAAGTCATGTAATCGACTGGCGCAG